GTGGAGATGTCCAGTTAATTGTTAGGTATACCAATTTAGGGCTTGAAAGGCAAGATTAAATTGGCAGTAGATGTTTGGGAGTCAGGTTAAATGAAATGAAACCATGAGAGTGGGTAAGTTCACATAGAATGTAAAAAGTACTGAAATGTAACCCTGGGAACACCAACATTTGTGGTCTAGATTAAAGCAAAAGACGCATGAACTCCTTCAACTTGAACTCTCACGGAGATAGAAAAAGAGTAGTTGCAGAGGTAGGAAGAGAAATATAATTGTGTCCTGAGATTACAGAAGATTCCAAGAAAGAAGGAGGGGAAAGTTGCTGGAGTTGTCAGGTTTAGTAATAAAAACACAGGATACCCAGTTAAATCTATATTTCAGATAAATTATATATATGCCCAAATAATGCATATAACTGGGAATTTTGTATTTTATCTGCCAACGCTACAAGTTGACCAAAAGACGGCAAGAAATCCTTGGCTTTGACAATCAGGAAGCTGTTGATGTGCTATGTCTGGGCAGTTTCACCACAGAAGTGTAGGTAGAATCTGAAAAGTGGTGAGCTGATGATAAGGAAATAAAGTTGGTCAGGAAATGAGGGTGGTGAGGAAGTGAGACCAGTGAGGGGGTCAATTCTGTGGAGGATTTTGGTGTCTAAGGAAGGTAAGAAATAGAGAAGAAGTTTGAGAAGAAGAGGAGGTCAGGGAAGATGTTTTTTGTTTTGTTTTAGAAAAAGAGAAAAGCTTCCATGTTTATAGGCTGACAGGAAAAAAAAATGTTAGAGAGGGGAATAAACGAAAGAAACAAGAAAGAGGAGATAATTCGTAAGGAGGATTAGAGAGGTCAGCTTCGAACAGGGGATGGAACAGCTTTTCCATAAGAAAAAAAGGCCGAGAGGCAAGGAGGAAGGATGAACCGTGGTATAAATAAACCTGGGGATGTAGGAGAGAAGTTGAGGGAGTTCATGCATGATCATCTCTTTTTTTCTTCGTGATCCAGAAAGGTTTATCACTTGATTAGAGCTGGTGGAAGGGCTTCTGTGAGAGCAGGATTTTGAACCTAAGGAAAATAGTAAAAGGAAATGTCTTGAGTGCTGGAAAGGGTAAGGCTTAAAGGCATGGGTTTGAAAAATCAGTATCTGCTAGTGAGGGAAACAGACTGGAGTGGATAGACGGGGATGTGTGATGGATAAAAGGGCATCAATTTTGGAGGGAGGTAGGCCTGGGTACGGGTCCTGGCTTTCTCTGTATTTGGTAGCTTTCACTAGGTCATGGTGTATAACATACAGCCCCGAGTCTCAATGGCTTACAAAAACATTCCCTTCTTTCTCATGTTACGTGGTAGTCGCTGCAGGTCAGTTGTTATAGCCCTTTCTCTGGACCAGGGTAGGGTTCAAAGCCGTTTTGTATTCCAGGAATTGTATTAGCAGAAAAGCAGCTGTTGAGGTGTGACCGCTCAAGGCAGAGAACACAGGAGCAAGAAGCCATATTCAACCAAGCAAGCACTTTTAAATTTTTTTCTCAGATGATTGATGTCATGTTCCTTCATGTTCCATTGGCCAAAGCAAGTCAAATGGCCAAGCCCAACACATATGGTACAGAGAAATATACTTCACTATGGGGAGACGGAATTAATATTTACAAATAGTAACACAATTACTGCATCATCTGAAGATTTTGTAACTCTTGTCAAGTTACTTCAGTGTTCTGGGCTTCAGTTTCCCCGTGTATAATACGGTTATATTAGCATCTGTTTCCTATGACTGTTGGGAGGATGAAATAAGATTAACCTGTGTGTTCAGCCTACTACAGTGCCTGGTACATAACAGATCCTTTATACGTATGAGAGTGCCTTGCCTGGGTGCTGAAATCTCACAGCTCCATGATCATAGGAAATTAAATTAAACTTTCTGCCCTACATTTTCCTTCTCCAGACTCACTAGGTGAACTGTAAGACCCTTTCTGGCTCTAAAATCCTCTGTTCCTAAAATCTTATCCTAACTAATCAAACAGTCCCTTAACTCCAAAGAACCCTCTGACTTAAGAGGAAACTACAAATTTATGAGTGATTTCATTTGGTTTATATCTCCTAGGCTCAGCCAACTATCAAGGGCAGGGGAAAGACTTGTTCAAATAAACCTAAGAAATCTACAGGAATCAAGTGTATGGTGGACCATCTCATTATCCACTAGGGACACTGTTTAGGCTTACGGAAAGGGTGATGCTTCGTAGAGAAAGGTTAAGATGTTCTCCCTTTGCCTCGAGGAGTTTAGCCACCTTGAATAATAAGGTCTGCTGGTGAGATGTGAAGTCTGACAGCAAGTGAAGAAATAGTTGAAGAGGCAGCACTGGAAATGCCTCGAGTCTTCCCAGGTGTCACCTTCTGCCTTGGAAATGTGTGAAAGCCTTGAAACAGTGTCTGGCAGAACCTTGGAAACTGCTCACCATATGTCACTGACTGTTCACAGAGTGGAAGCAGGTGGAAGCATGTCTGAACAATGTTCTGATGGCCAGTTATATCAACTAGGATTGTGGGCAGCTACATGGTGCAGAGATCAGACCACCATGGTTTATGTAAAACAGAGGTTTATTTCCCCGGGTAGCCAACCTTTGGAAGTAGATAGGCCACTGTTTCACCATAGTGTCAATGTCATGGGAATTTCTGATGTGCATCATTCTCAAAGAAGATCAGCATGGAAAATTTTATTAGCTGGCAGATTGAAATTTAAGCCTAAACCCAAGGATTTCACAAGTGCATTTCAACTTTAATGCACAGCTTAAGGGGGTTGACCAGATGCCCGATTTAAATACCTAGCTTTAAAACAAAGCAGAGTTAATTGATCAAATATCTAAGTACCTACCACAGGTTCTATTCTGGTTTGGGTTTGTAAATAATAGAACAAAACTTTAGACTCAGTCCAAGTTTAAAAGAAAATAAACTTAACATACAGAGGAAAGAGATTATTATTACATGCAGAGAAAATCTGGCAAAAAAAATTCATGGCACTCTTTCTCCGATCTTTGTCCAAATCTCTATCATTTCTAGTGGAAAAGCCCTCACATTCTCCTGTCTCTCCAGTTAACTTAGTTTGGACACATCAGTCAATGTTTATCTTGGATAAATATGCATCAGATATCACTTCTAGATGTAAATCCCTCCAGTACCTCAGTTGCATCTAGAGAAAAACCCAAACTCCTCCTCTGGCACAGCTGGTAGGCCAGCCCCTCCTCTCCAGCCCTACCCTGTACCACTGAACTCTGCTCTAGCCACACGGCTCCCAAGGCTATTTTCTGCCTCAGGGCCTTTGCATTTGTGATGTCCTTCACCCAGGCTACTTTCCTCAGAGGAGGGAGTTGGATCTTTTCAATGCAAATGTCACCTTCCTAGAGATCTTTTCCCTCAACACCTTATTGAAGCAGCCTTCCCAATCCTCCTGCCTGTTTACTCTATATTAAAAGTTATTATTATTACTGCCTGGCTGTATCTTATTTATTTGTTCGTGGCTTCACTATCCTCAGTAGACTATAAGCTCTCTGAGTGCAGAGCCCGGCACATGTTTACACTCAGCAAGTATGTGCTAATTATTTCCATAATCAAGTATTTCAGGCTCTAAACATTCAGAAAAGAGGGACATTGTCATGAACCCTAAATCAGGGAACTTTTCATGAAGGAGAAGGGAATGGGTTGGACTTAGAAGAGAGAGAAGGATCTGCATTGGGGGTACCCAGGGGAAGCCAGGGGTATGGTTTGCAGCAGCGAAGGCATGGCCTTAGTCTGTGGCAATTCCATTTCTGAACTGACAGCAAATGGCGTGCGCGTCTCTGCCCTTGGCAGATCAGAGAGGCCAACCTTTCTTATGGAAATACCACCAAGGCCATGGAAGCAAAATACTTTGATGACTTCATCAAAAGAAAACATGTGACTCTTGCAAAATAAATTCCTAGACCGAGGGGGTGTGGCGGAGGGACAGTTCTTGAGCTGAAGAGAAAATTCAGGACCTTCCAAGGCATTCTGTAAAAAATGCTCTTTGGATAAAACTGCAACTTAAAAATAACCTCTGTTGGGTGTGGAGAGAACAACTCAAATATTGGGGCCAGAAATCCAGAGTGAGGGCCAAATTTGGGCTAAGAAAATGCTAGATTCTTGAGATCTTTGGAAAGCAATTCCCTTCCCCACATTTATTTACAATGAAAAGAAGTTTCTTAGAAACAAAATGAGGAAACTGACAATTTGTGATTTTTAAAGTGTCAAACCAGTGTGCTAATAAATAAATCATCTTCCAATGTGATGAAGCAAGAAAAAATCTGAGAAAGACAGGTTTATGATCCAAGATAAACAAATGCGCCACCACTGGAGAAAAAGATGGTATCAGAATAAGGCCATGTGGAGTGGTTTTGACCTTGGGAGCAAGGGGTGTCAGGTAGCCAAAATCAGAGGAAAGTGAAAACTGTTGCAAGAAGCAGACTCACCTGGGGGAGAATTCAACTCTGCCACTCTTTCTGTGAGACCTTATGTAACTTACTTCACTTCTCTTGCCTCAGTTTATTCACCTGTATAATGGAAAAGTGTCTATCTACCTGCCAAGGATATTGTGGAGATTAAGTGAAGTACTTCATAAAAATTGCCTCACAGAATACCTGAATGTAAGAAGGCTTTAAAAATCTTCTAATTTTATTTCTGTTCTTACTCTTGAGAGAGTTGAGCAAGTCAGAGAGCTTCAGAATTATGAAGGATAAGATATAAGACAAGATTTTTGCTTTCCTAGTTAGGGAACAGAACACTCATCTTTTGGCATAATAATGATGTGTAACAGGCCAATAGAAAATTCAGCGACTTAAAACAGTGAGCATTTATTTAGCTCACAAATCTGCAAGTGGACAGTTTAGTCTGGACCCAGCAGGGCCTTTCTTCTGGTTTAGGCATTGACTGACTACTGGCTGGTCTAGGCTGGCCTCTCCGGAGGGTGACTGACTGGCCGACTTGGCTCTCCTCCAGCAGGCTAGCCCGGGCATGCTCTTGTGGTGAAGGCAGAGGAGCAAAAGTGAGCAAGCCCAGTTGTGCAAGTGCTTTTCAAGGCTCCGTTTATGTCACATTTGCTAACATCCTATTGGCCAAAGTAAGTAACACAGTCAAATCCAGAGTCAGAGCTGGAGGGCACTACAAGCTTGCATGATATGAGATGCAGATATGGGAGGGAGAAAGAAAGGAGGCCATCAGTGCAATTAATCTACCGCAGGGAGACTGGACAGATGCACATATAGATAATTAAATTTCATATAAACACATAACAAAATACATATGTAATTAACAGAAGATGAAAGATAATGATTTGTAATCCCAGAGAGTTCCACTGATTCTGAAGAAATTTTCCTCTAGATCTCCTGGCTTAGTTACCCACTGTGATTAGGGAGCAGCCATCACTGTCCCCATCTTACAGATAGTAAGGTGGGAAGCGTGGACCTGAGCTTCTGATGACGAACCTCCCCTTCACCCACGGCTTTCCAAACCAAGAGCAAAATAAATGGAACACACACAAAAGGGGCAGGGATCTCCATGAACTCTGGGAGCCAAGAAGCCTTTGAAGAGGCAAAATTCACTTGGGATGTGGATATATGCACAATAACGAGTTTTCAATCTTTTTTTCTTTTAATGGAGGTACTGGGGATTGAACCCAGGACCTGGTGCATGCTAAGCATGCACTCTACCATTGAGCTATAACCCTCTCCTATCAACTTTTTTATTGCAGAAAATCTACTCTTTTTGGATAAATTTTTCTGTAGAAATTGCCAATTGTATAAACTAATAAAAGAGCTATTTCATTGGCATACATTTACTTTTAGGTTCAAATATATAACATTTACTTATTTTCAAATTAATATATAAGAATAATGAGGTCATTTGGGGACACTCAGGGGTTTGAAATCAGGGACTGATATCAAAGGGAGGCAGTGCAGTCTTGGGGGATTTTGCTCAGGCTGCCCAGCAGAGTGGGGTTCTGTCCCTATGCCCCATTTCCCATCTCTCACTTCTGGTCCAGTGGCTCTCAAGTGGCTGGTCCC